TATAAAGCTAACTCACTCATTTGCCATGTAAAGGTCTGTGACTCTAATATTGAACAAGGTCCGAATAATAGCAAACACCATAGTGAATAATAACTTGCTAACTACGAAGCAACAGAAGATTGAGCAAACAATGTAAAGAGATGAAACTGTGTAAACATTAAAACTTATGGTTAATTACAAAGAATATTAGGATAAAAAATAGGTTGGAGTAGTGGAAAATGTAAGCCTTAAATCCATCAAGCAACTCTAAGCTTAGTGCTCAATCCAGTATTTTGGTGTTATGTTGTGATTCACAGCTTTTAACACTTTCTAGTTCTGTGATCTTGAACAAATTATTTATTTATTTGGCTCTCCAAGCAAAATTTAATTTTCTGTAAATTTGTGAAAATGTTTCCTAATTAATATAAAGGTTGAATGAGATAACGTATGTTACAAAGTATGTGTATGTAGTAATCATTGAATCATTGCTATGTTATTATACTTCGTTCAGGTTCTCAAAGATTTTTAAGAGCTATGGTATTCTAAAAACAGAAATAAAAAGTACACCAATGATATTTATTTTTGACTCATGCCTTCTTCCATCCTAAAACGTGTGAAAATTGTCCATGCCAAATACTTCATTCCACATAAAATCGTTCTTGGATTCCCACGTGACCCTAATAGAAATTACTTTTTCCTCCCTCATTCTCTTACAATCTTCTGTACATAGAAGTTTATTTCTTTACTTTATTAGTATTCATAATGAATCATAAATCTTGTCTTACATCTCCAACTAAACTTGGAGTTTAGTACTCTGAAGGGTGCCTATTTTTGTTTATAATCATCTTGTGCCAAGAAGACCCTAAAATAAAATAAACTTTGAAGAAATGTATTTAATTCAACATAAGTGTGGTGATAGTTAACAGATAATTATTCATGTGCATTTTGGCAGTAGGTGCACTTTGTATCACATTGAAGTTCTTGAATAAAATGGGGCTAAATTGTCTTGTACATCAGTGTTAGAATCAAGATGACCAAAGCTATGCGAATTTCGGAAGGGACTGTTTTTGCCTCTCAGCACATTTTTTTTCTGGGAACAACTCATTATTAATACTAAATTTAAAGCTTAAATTAATGCCATTCATCATTATTAAGACTGATGACATTTTTAGTGTGTACTCTGAAAATGATTGGGATACATTAAACTATCAATTTTAGGAGTTAATCAGTGAAAAAAGTAGTATCATTGTTATAAATAACATCTCCATTTGGGGGAATACAAGTGTGTATATTACTTTTTTATACCTTGTGGAGGAATTTTACCATATTAAACTTTGTTGGCATAAAATCAATTTTGTGTTATATGTATAGATGCAGAAAAAAATAAATTATGGCACATAGAACACATCTTTACCAACTATCTCTTTAAAATTTGGATTCTATGTAAAATATAGTGTGAAGACACACTGAAATTTCTTCTGTTTAGTGCTACTGAGTAATGATGTTTTCTTTCTATATGTTTACTTTTCTCCATTTCATTTAAATTTCAGACTTATTCAGTGAATTAGTAAATTTTGATCAAAATAGCAATTTGCTAATATTTTAATGAAGAAGTGTTAGAAAAGTGGATTTGGGTTATCACATGACTTGAACTATAAAATATTCATTGAAGATTTGAAAATAGCATTAGCTCACATGGATTGGATGATCAGAACATCAGATCCAAATATCTGTCTTTCAGTATATGTTAAATAAACTTTAGAATTCATTTACTAGTGCATTCTGGACTGCTCTTCTCAAACATTGGACCATGATATTGATTTAAGTTTTATCTTAGAATTATTCCTTCTTTATTTTATTTAATTTTACCTATTATGTGTTGAAAATGTTAAATAAGTAATCAGGTATGTGTGAGTCTGAGAAATGGTAAGGCATTAATATTTGATCAAAAATGGATATGAAGCAGCAATAGTTATTTACTGAAATAACAAAATGCTGTCTTATTGCTTCATTTGCATTCCATTTGTGAAGGGCTATCAAATCAAACTTAATTTTCTGTTAGACATAGGAATTTTTGAAAAATTTTCCAAAGGTCATAGTTTAATTTTAGTAGTTACTATGCATGCCATTATAACCAACTTAAGTATTGTGAAATTTAAAGTTGATAATATAAAGAAATTACTATTTTCTGTTTTCATAGTATGTCCTAGTATCTTAAGTTTTTTAAATACTCAAAGTCAAATCAAACACTAGTCTAGTGAAATCAGTGCAAAAAATAGCTCAGATCTTCAAAACTACTTCACTATTTACCATCTAGTTTATAATTTTACGAGTTTGGGTTGGCTTTAGTGTTGGCAGAATCAGTTCGTACCATTGGTTTACTTATTCATTCAATCATTCATTCAAGAAATATTTTTGAATACTGAAATGAAATACAGAGAACACCCAAAATTCTTGTCTAAAAGTTTACAATCCCAAGTTGAGGCTTGAAAATATAAACTAAGAAGAAGTGGAAAATTATGGTATAGTAGAATTGTAGAGTCTGGTATATGGTACTGGGAAAAAACATGATGGCCTAACTTTGTAGGAGGAGTAAGAGACTCAGGTATTTTCACAAAATGCATGGTCTTTTAGTATAATTTTAAAAGATGGTGAGAGTTTTCCAGTAGAACACAAATTGAAGAACATTTCAGGCACAGCAAGCAGAATAAATAAAGGCAGAAGTACATTTCAAAGCCTACAAACTGTCTCCACAGTTTGTATATTCACTCATTTAAATAGCCACAAGGGTAAATGATGACAGATAAAATCAGATCTTAGGTTGAGTAATTATTTAACTTTCATCGAACATTATCATACTGAGTGCTAAACCAAATCTTGTTAGGCCATTCTAACCAGTGAGTACAGTCTAAATAAGAAGACAATCAAGGCACCAATGAGTAGATAGCATCTAGTCAATCAGCAGCTGTCTTTAAAGCACCTATAGCTGTCGATATGGAGATTTATAGAATAACTGCAGCATTCTCAATTGTATTAGGAAGAAAATGGGCAGCAAGCACAAACTTTAGAGTATAGATTTATTTTGCTCCAGGCGTCAGAATCCAAAGGCAAGAGGATACCTATCCTTGTGGCTCTGACATTTTGTGGCTCCAGCTATAGTTGTACCTAGGAGGCCCAGGTTTAATCTAGTCATTTCTAAGCTACCAACAGTAAGCAGGAATTTATTTAAAAAAAAAAAAGACTCTGAAATATTGATACTAGAGAGTAAGGTGGCATTTTGTATACTTTTGAGTAAATCATCCAGGAATTTTGAAAACAAGATGTTCATTAATAAAATTCTAAAACCTTAGTGATTAAATATCTTCTTTCTACTAACTTATTAAAATGAACTCTAAGAATTTTAATACAGGGAATGATTAAAACCGTCATGACTCTGCATCCTTATAGCATGAGACAAAAAATATCATAATGGAATGTTATTCTTTATTTTTTAAAAATGAAACACAGGGTATTCTATTTCACTTGTTGTAGTAATTTCTTTTAGTCAAATCTTGTCTGTTGCCAAGAGCAATTTTTTTGTCTTTTTCATTTTTATTGGTACCAGGGATCGAACTTAATGACCACACACTTGCAAGGAAGGCGCTTATGCCACTGAGCTAAATCCTCAGCCCCTAGAGCAATTTTTTTTAAAGCTACACTGATATATTACCATTATAATATCATAAATACAGTGTTTTAAAATGAAAAGGAAATATTTCTGTGTTTTCATGATTTACATAATACAGAGTTAATGACTCAATCAATATATCTTTAAAATGTACATTTAATTTTTGGCCCCTAAGAAATTTATATCAAAAAACAAGTAATAACCAGTGTCACTCACTATAGTGATTTTAGGTACCTAAAGTGTTTCCTTACATGCTTTGTTTCCTATTCATCTTGACCTTGATGTTAGTTTTGTTTTCTTCCTCAAAACTTACTGAATTTAATTTTTAGATTTGCATTTTTGACAGACACTGAATTCTAAAGTTATCTATGATTATTTTTATAAACTTGGCAAGTGACAAAAACTGAGTTACTTTATCTTTAAACTAGTGATAGTAATACTAGGTTTGCCTCTGTCATACAGTGCTGAAAGGATCAAATAATTCAGTAGTTTCCAAACATGATATATGTAGTCAAAAGAAGTATAGTATTAGTTGTACATTTAGTTGTACATTAATTGTACATTTTTGCATTTGGTTTTGCATATGTTACAAAACCAAGTTTCTCTTATTTCATTGATGTCTGACACATTCTTTGCAGCGGTAAGGAACTTGCTAAGGGGGTCAAATATTCCTCAACAGCTTGCATCAGTATATTTATATCTGGAAGTATGGAACAGTTGTTGATGGAGGCACCTAACTATGAGAACTTCAGTTCCATTATGCTGTAGATCATGACTCATGCAGCCAAACAGTTCCTCCTCCTTCTATTACCCTTTACATTTTACAGGGAAGAGTAAGGTGGCAGACTCATTTTGGAAGAATAAATCCCTGTGTATTAAGAGATTCATGTCAGAAGAATAGCTTGCCAGAGACTATACAGGTGACTTTAGAATATACTTCTGAGTTGGGCCTGGTGCAATCCCAAGGATCGGTTTGCGGCCAGCCTGGGCTACATAATGAGTTCAAGGTCAGCATGAACTGTGTCGTGAGACTGTCTCAAATAACCAAATATATATATATATATATATATATATATATATATATATACTTCTTAGAATCAATCCCTATTTATTTGCTTCTACCACTGATGTGCCTTTTCTTCAAATTCCTTTGTGTTTAGTGTTTCTGGAAATATAAATTGCATGTAGTTTTGAAAAATATAGAGTACTTCAAAATCTGCAGTCTTCTTTAGTTTATAATTTACATATGACTGTGACTGAAAGAATTACCATGTAATAACTAAGGTACTAGTACATTTAAAAATATTTCACCTTTAAAAAAATATTCTTAACAAAGTTATATTCTTTATTTCAGAGCATGATGAGTGTGCTACAAACCAGCACAGTTGTGATGAAAACGCTTTATGCTTCAACACTGTGGGAGGACATAACTGTGTATGCAAGCCTGGCTACACAGGGAATGGAACCACATGCAGAGGTAGGGTGTTTCAATGCCGACTCCTCTTCCATTATGTATAACACAATCTATGTCTCTATTCCTTATCATCACTGATCTGTACCTTAGAGACACCTTGCACAGTTGCTAAGAGCCTTAAAATCTGGCTCATACCAAACAGTTCTGCTCCTTTGTCTCTGTTGATATCAGCCACAGAGGTTTTCATATCTCTCTTCATAAAACCACATCGATGAGACCATTCTGAGCATTTTTGTCCAGAACTGCTCTATTCTTAGCATTTGCAATTTCCACATTTTATACTCTAACTCCTTTGTTCCTTCTACAACCTCTGATCTTCTTCAAGATCTTCTTTTTTTGAAACTTTTATTCTATCTACTTTACCTATATCCAAGTTTCAAACATTTCCATCTGAGCCTAATCATTAACAAACAATGTCAGCTATTTGTCTTCCAGCATCATCAACTCCTTTTATACTACTATCATCCACTGTGAAATATCTCCATTTTGGGTCATTCAAACGGTTTTTATTCTGCACATTTTGTCATGAGCTGTTGAGAACTATTGTAAAAGATTAACTAACCATGTATATGGTATTTGTAGAAGTTATAGTTCTTCACTTTAGCTGACTTGTCAGTGCCAGTGGGTCATTATTTTAGTTCAGATTTTCATTTTCATCAATGACTATTTCAATTAGTTCTCCACCATCTATTAAGTCACATTTGCACATTATTCTTTTTCTCTTCATTAGATGAGGTAAGAGGACTAGCAGTCCATTTTGGAAAGTCCAACAAATCCCACAGGATAACATTAATATGCCTTATTATGTCATATGATTTACCTAATTTAGGCATTTTGAACTGTAAATAGTCCCATTCTTCAAATATATTGTTTCATTTGTTTTAAGTTTACTGTAATCAAATTACTATGTTACTTTCTATACGAGAGATAGGAAAGACAAAGGAATAATTAGTAATGCAATAGTCCATGCAGTGCTCTACAGTTGTACACTGAAGTGAGATTTCAGTGGACCAGCAGATTACTCTGGTTTCCAAACCCATGGACCCATAGTTGTATTGTAGATCACATGAAGAAGGCTTTCTAAGTTGGAAAACTATGCAAATAGTTCGTTTCAGTAGCCCAGTTTTTATTAGGTCTTTTATTTAGGATATTTTTTGAGTTCTTTATACACTCTAGATATTTGTCTGTTTTCCATATTCTGTAGTTTGTTTCTGCACTTCGTTGGTTATTTCCTTTACTGTGCAGAAGGTTTTTAATTTTATGTGATCCCATATGTTAATTATTGATGTTATTTCTTATTCAAAAAAGAGCTATTGAAATTATGGAGCATGCATAGGCAGGTAATTGTTATATTTGAAAAAAGGAGAACTTTTAAGAATCTGTGTAATGTTTTTGAGTGTTTAGACAGTAGCTTCCCAGAACAAAGTCTAGTTCCTGGGTGTATCTGCTTTGAACAGGAGTAGTCAAGATGTGAGCACTGAATCTTTGATTTCTGTGCTGCAACAATAAGCTGCAAACCTTCTAAATTACTCCAAGAAAACTTGATTTGGAAGATCCATTCTTTATTATTTATGAGGTTTAAATTTTCACTTTATTTTCAGATAGTCACTGAACGAAGTATACTTCTTGTATAACATGAAAACAGACTTAAAACCTAGGATCAACAGAGCCACATAGCGTCTTTGGATACATCCTTTAATTCAACACCACAAGTACAGGTTTCTGCATTTCACTACTCTAAGTACATCTGTCTAACTAGAGAAAATACATGCAAGAAAACTTTTGCTCTGCCGCCTGGAACATCTAGCTGGTCTAGTGTAGTTATGTCAGATCTTGTCATTAAGAAGCAACTCCTGAACTTTACAGAGCCAAAGAGTAAGTGGAGAGAAGTGGAAAGAAAAGTTTATAAGGAGCTTCGTATTACTCATCTTGTTTTTATCTTCTCTGATTTTTCTCATCTGTCATATTTTCTGATTTATGGTGCTTCTTCTTTGAAGGCAGCACATACTAAAAAAAGCACCCTTGCAGTGGTTCAAACTTGAGCTCTTGTTCCTACTCACAGAAAAACTTTTCTTCTCATCTCCAAAATCACTTTAATGCATCAGGCACTGCAGTAGCTTTGCCTTTGATCCTACATCCTGACCTGTCTTTAGCAGAAGAATGTCAGGCTTTCCCTGAAGACCACTCTGGGAAATGCTTCTGATTGTTGATACTTCTGAGCCACCAGGACTGGCTGAGGACTTTTTGAAGGGTGGGTCATTTCTCTAATGTTTTTAAACTTTTCCCAGTATGTAGAATGGTGAAAGTTTCATGGCATTCAATTGTTTCCTGTTTCACAGTCTCATTTTCTAGATTATAGTTTGTTCTGTCTGAGATAGTTGTCATTTTTAGGTTTGTTTTCAAGTTGGATTGCTACAATGAGATACAATCTGAATTTTACTGCATTTTTCATTGTATAAGATTATTGGTTTTTGTTAAAAGAAATTTCATTATCTTATTTTACAGATGAAATATTCCTTTAACATTGGAAACAATAATGCTTTACTAATTGTGTTCATGTTTTGTGTATATATTGAAAATATAACATTACTGCGACTTTACAATAGGTTTTACAATCTGATGTGTTCATCTTCATGGAATGAATAAAAGTTGTATGGGGGGTTATTTAACTATTTACTTCTAAAACTCTGAAATCATGTATCTGACTTATTTTATCTGACTTATTCATATATCTGAATTATTTTAGCATTTTGCAAAGATGGCTGTAGAAATGGAGGTGCCTGTATTGCAGCTAATTTGTGTGCCTGCCCACAAGGCTTCACTGGACCCAGCTGTGAAACGGGTAAGAATATCATTTCATCTTCTAGAAAATGAATTTTTATGGAAATGCATAAAGTAATCCATGAGGAAAGTAATGTTTCAAGTGGGGTCTCAAAGCATGGAGCTATTAATAAGGGAATGCTAAGAGGGGGGAGGTGGATTGTTTCAGTGATGCATATTCACTAGGTGATTTCCCAAAGTCAATCTGAGGAGGTTTGCAGCTATTATAACTAGACATATACTGAGATTTTTCAAGACAATGTGTAGGATAGCCCCAAATTTCATGACTACAATTTTTAGTGCCCATTAGGAGCTCTTTTTTCTGAAATCTATGAATAGAATTTAAGCTTATGACCATATCTGTTCCTAGGATATGCCACTACCTGAATCCATATTGAGAATTTTCAGTAATTTATTATTGTGTATTTAGAAAATAAAGTTTTTTTATGTATATCTCATCCAAACCCATTATGAACTTATGCTTTCTGATGGATGTTAATACTAGAAATTTTAAAATTACTTTTAAAATAATACACAGTCTGAATATAGGTATAACACCAAAGTAACATATTATGTCAAGTGAGAAACATACCTTAGGGACAAAAAACTGTTTTGAATATTAGATCCTAATTAAAATCATATCAGTGATAGTTTTGTTTGCTATTGTTTAAGTAGCTCCAGTAGTAAATGACCTTAGAGTCTGGTTATTGTGCCTGAGACAAAGGTTCTGCTAGTAGTGATGGTGGTTATCATTGCCATACTGCTTTCCATAAATCCCAGTGTCATAGCTGTAGTTCATGTGCTTCATCTGTTCCACTTGCTGTCAACTGGTTACTAAACCAGTTTTTACTAAATGTTTTTACTAAAAACGTTGATCAGAATATGAGGCAGAAGATGCTCTGCCCCCTTTGGGAAATAAAATTTTACTGAATAGACACTGCCACTATGCAAAGAAAGAGTCTCACAATGGGTCTGCATCACGAGATCATCTCTTTTTATAAGTACCTCTAAATAATGTTTTTCAAAATTCAGTGATTGACTTCCTATCTTTAATACTAATACATAGAAGTATTGTAATATTTATTTATTTGCTGTATTCAGCATTGAACTTGGGACATTCACACTGAGCTACATCCCCAACCCTTTTTGTTTTTTTCTTTTTTTGAGACAGTGTCTTCCTAAATTACTACGTTACTGAGGCTGGACTTGAATTTTCAGTCCTGCTGCTTCAGCCTCCCAAAATTATGGGATTGGAGAGCTGTTTCATCATGCTTAGTTTATAAGACTCTTTTTAAAGGCATTCTTTCCTAAATTAAAAGTTATCCAAACTTGTTGCATATCTGAATCACTTATAGAGCTTGTTAACCTATTAGCCATACAGGTTTTTTGGTGATTGATTATCATAGGATCTACTTGATCAAATCATGTACCTCTAATACAGTGGTCCTCCAAATTTGCACTGCAAGCTCTTCACTACTATATGCACACACATCAAGGTACACTGAGGACTCCCATACATCTCCACTTGTGGTGACCAGTTTTCTTGAATATAATACCTTAAACTATTTCTGGAACCTGATTTGGATACTAAAATTTTGGCTTTTTAAGGACTTTTTGAAAGTGTGAGTATAATTGTATGGAATTTCAGATAAAGTCTATCTTGAAAAACCTGGAATGAACATTAGCTAAGTCTAATTCTACATATCATTCTTCCTCAAGAAACAAAATCAAATGATAAGATTAAGAAAATGATGAATTTCAAAAAATTAATCTTAGTAATGTAATATTTAAGACTGGAATAAAAATAACCCACTAGAATTTTTAGCTCTTATCTGTGTAATTACCATTGAACTTTAAATCCACATGAAGATGATCTCAAATTGACCCTAAAAAGCAGAGTAATGTTTTGAGAAGAGAAGTAGGTTTAAAGTCTAGTTCTACTGTTTACTTTTTAATGTTTATGTCGGCAGTTTACTTAATCCTCAGTGTCTTATGCCCGCTATTCATAAACTTACTTTACAGCTCTCTTCCAAAGCAGCTACTAGCTCCATTACATATAAAGGTATTGAGTTTACAGTGATTATATTTCCCCCTTCAACTCAGAATAGAAGCTGAAAGTGAAGTTTTTCTGCTCTCAAACTCAGGCTTCTTATCACTTTTTTTTTGAGACCTTAAATCTGATTACCAAACATATCATATCTTTCATGACTTCTGCCTTCTCTTTTTCCTCTCCTCCCACCAAAACTAGGTTATTCATTATTATTCTTTATTTCAATAGATAGCACTCCTATCCACCAAGTTTTGGGGGCATCGCCCAGGAAATCTTTTCACTCTCATTTCTTGCCACATCCAGTGAAATAATCTTACTTGCATCTCTTTATCTCTTTTCTGGGTTCCATTTATTTCCTTCTGGTTGACCCTGTAGTAGTTCAGTTCAGGAGTCTCAGGTTTGTCTCCCTCCTTCCCAATCCCCACAGAATATCAGAACATGATTGTATCACTCCATGCAGGAAAAATAAAAATAAAACTTCAGTGTCCTCTGTTATCCTCAGGATAAAGGCTACTTGTTTTTTTATGCACTGGGGATCCACCACAGGAGTGCTATACTACTGAGCTACATTTCCAGCTGTTTTTCTTAATCTGAAACTGAGTCTTGATGCATTACCTAGGCGTTCCTCAAACTTCCAATCCTCTTGCCACAGTCTCCCAAGTAAACAAGATCACAAAGAGAACCAACAAGGCCACATTTTTAAACATAAAGCCTTCTAGCTGTTTATTCACCCAGCCTCACCCTCTTATCCTCCTATCTCCTTATCTCATTTCCATTCCAGCATCTTGTGTGTTCAGGGTGAATCTTGTTCACTTTTGTTCCCTCAAGACCAAGAATAAAGTCTTAGTATGATTAGTAAGTGTGAACCTTAACAGATGGTCTCTCAGTACTTGGTGAACAGATAAATAAAACTGTGGGTTATCAATTAAATGATGATGAAAAATGATGTGGTAGTTTCCTTATTTGTTGGGCATTTTTGAACATTAGTTTAAAGATGACATCAGGAACATCTGATCCTACATTCTTATATGGCAAGTATTATGGTTTATGCCTAGATGTCCCCCAAAAGCCTCATGCAATCTTAGATTTTTAGAGGTGGATGAATCTAAAGTGTGACTGGAATTAACAGTATGTGATTACTAAATCAGTCCACTGATTCATTTAGCATCACTATAATCCCAGTATTCTAGATTCAGTATAAAAGGAGGAGAAAGATGCTATTAAGGTCTCCTGTTGCTTGTGCTGTCTTACACTGCCACGAATGGTTGCCTCTATGCCATGTGCCACTTTGCTTTGGAGCCAGCAAATTAAGGAGTAAAACCTGTGCAGAATTGTGAGCTAAATTAACCTTTTCTCCCTTAACTTTGGGCATTGGGTATTTTATCTCAGCAATGAGAGAAAATTAAGACAATGAGAGATGAAGTAATTTACATAAAATATGACATTATTGATCCTTGTCTACAATCTAGAACTCATTCCTAGTGTAGCATTTTTCTCCTCCCTATTTTCCTCTCTCCTTCCTTTTTTCCTAAGTTATGATGTCTGTCCAAGAATTTATCATACAACCATCCTTTACCAGCTCTGTGCTTTTTGTTATGCTCCCACTTGCAACTGCAGAATAACTCTGGTTTTAAATGCTGATGGCTGGCAATTTTTCATCCCTAGGTATGCAAAGTATCAGGATTTTCAGGATTTGTAAGTGTAAAGAAGGCCTAGCTTTGGCCTGCTGCAATTAGATATTGGCTGATACTTAGTAAGAAGACTGAGTTGTGGTCCCAGTGACCATCTCACAATGGTATCACTGAACATGAAGTAACAAAACGTACTCTTTGAAGAGGCAATATGACTGTACATGACTTTTACCAACTCTTGTTACTTTAAGTGAGAAGGTCTCCCCATAAATTCATGCCTTCATTTATTTAGTTTGTTTCTTCACTGTGTGTGTCTCAGTAGAAATGGTTGAATTCATTTACAAGCTTCATAACAGACCTACTTGTATGCTTTATACTGAGAGAAATTAATTTTTATAGACTTCTTTTTACACACTGTACAAAACTACCCACATGTACAGCATAGCATCATTTTTAATTACACACCCTAATATTCCATCAGTGTTTAACTTGGATTTAGTGGGGCGATTATTTCTTGGATAATTTAATAAAAAATGTTAGACGTCTGTGTGCTGAGGTTTACTTAACAGCTCTATGACTGCCATTCTATATTTATTACACAATTGCTAAACTTCAACAAACATGTGTTTGATAACCTAATTAATATGCAAAACTGTCTCATTATACTAAAAGTAAATCTTTCAGTAATGATTTAAGGTATAACACTGAAAGATTTGACAGTTGCCTATAAATAACCACTGACTTAAATCAAGTTACATTGTTTATAACTGGGAAAAATTTGGTGCCAAATGGCAAAGCTGAAAAATCATATGCTGAAATAAGAAAGGGGAGCTCAGATGTTTTGGTGACAAATGGCTTCTTTTTTCCCCCCTGTGTGTAAAATAATGAGTCTTAGCCACAGATCAAAACATGAGATGAGATTTTAATTATCTGTAGTGAGTAGTTAAATGAACATAAATTTAAGTTGCATTCCTGGTTTTGTCATGTTTTAATATATGTAGCTTTAAAGCATGAAGCACATGTGAGTTTTGGTTTACTTCAAAAATAACTTCTGATGGATTGAAGCTAACTAAAAAATTGATATAATTATTTTATTGGTATATGTTTGATATTATAGCATAGGTAGTTAAATCATTTTTAGCAAAAAAAATATTGTTTTCCTGGTAGTGTGTAATATTGGCATTTATTATCACTGTCAGACTATTAAGTTCCTGGATATGGTTGAGTTAACCCATTTCTCATCATTCATAATATGTATGTATATATATATATATATATATATATATATATATATATATATAATTTTATGATCGCTAAGCTTTTTAAGGCATAGTTTTCAGA